GCACCGGGCACGGGCCTGTGGCCACCCCCGGGCGGCCTGCTCTTCCGCTGGGACCTGGGCGCCCTGGACGTCACGCCCTCACTGCTCCCGCCGGTGCGGGTGCGGCTCCTCTGTCCGGGTACGCACCGCCTAGCCTCCTGCTCGCCAGGCACCGCCCACCTTTTGACTCCACCTCCAGCCCCCTGGCTCCCATCAGTTTCCCTTCCGACTGCTGGACCCAGCCCACCTCTTGCCAACCGAGCCACGCCCAACTCTGGACACATCCTCTCCAGGCCTCCAGTAACTTGGCCTCCTCCCAGTCCCAATGGCCTGAATGGGCTCGCTCCCTGGCCACCTTGCCCTGCCCGGTGCTGGCTTCAGTGCTTCTCCCCCAGGTTCCCAAGTAGCCCACTAACTCCCAGACCAGGCATCCTGGCGCCCCTTCTGGTGTGCAGGCGCCTTCAAGGCCCTACCCAGCTGTGGGTCAAGGGGACCCATGTGGAGCCAAGATGCGTCCCCGACATATCTCCCACCCTGGCCAGTGCCCTCAGAGGAGTGCCCTGCGTGGGACCCAGGACCCCGCACGGAGGGCTCTTTGCTCTGCCTGCAGCCACTGCCATTCCTCTGCTGCTACCGGACAGGTGCGCCCTATCTGGCTGTGCCTTGGGCTCTGCTGAAGTGGACGCTGGGTGTAGACCAGTGTAGGCTGAAGGGGGAGCAGTTAGCAGAGTCCCCCCGGGAATTTAGAATCTTCTTGGACTCTCAAGGCCTCCATGGAGTCTGGATCACAGACAACTGGGCCAAAGGACCTGGGGGTGTGAATCCCAGCTGTGTGACCTCAAGCAGGTGATTTTGCCATTCCGTGCTTCAGTTTCCTCATCTAGGACACCCAAGGCTCCAGACACACAGACTTCAATGTATTCTTCCTCCCTCAGCAGCACGGGGTGGATGGGGCACCTCTGGGCAGGGTATTGCCCAGGACTCTGTCTGACATCCACTCCTTTGCAGAGACCTACCAGCGGCTGCAGGATGCCCAGTCATGGCCTGGCCAGGATGTTATCAGCCACATCAATGCCTTAGCCAAGGCCATTGTGGTGAGCCCCCTCCCAGGCGGCTGGAGAGTCTGGCACTCTGGGTGGCCTCCCTGCACCTCAGTGTCAATGGTAAAGGGGACACCCACCTAATGTGTGTGCAGGAAGTAAGGTTGTTCATGCCCCCTATTTTTGAGCCTTTGAGAGCTGGGGACTTGTGACTAGTTAGACCAGCACCCACAAAGAAGAGTGGCAGAAGCCAAGTATGGGGAGTCCTCTCGTGACAGCCAGACCAGCAGTCAGCGGCCCCTCTGCCCACAGCTCCTCCCTGACCCTCTGTCTGAAGCCCACGGAGACCTGTCCCCGGCCGAGGCCTCCAGCTTCCTGAGTATTCTGGAGAGAGTCCTGGCAAAGGAGGCAGCTCCACTGGGACCAGCTGCGCTGCTGGCTGTCGTGCAGTTCCTGAAAAGAGTGACAGCCCTCGGGGCGTGGGAGCCAGAGCCCATGACAGGGCCCTGGGAGCAGCTGGGCCGGGCCGTCCTGTCTGTGGCCAGCCTGGTCCTAGAGGAGCAGCTGGCTGGTGCGTGGCTGTCAGTCAGCGAGGTGAGGTTGGCAGGGCTGGGTGGGGCAGCCATCTGGGCCAACCTTGCCACCAGTTTATGTCACCACGGGCGGGTCAGCACCCACCTCTGGGCTCCATCTCTCCATCCATCAGGAGAAGTTCCTCTTTTGTCTGTTTCATAAGTTGAACTTCCATATACAATTGCTCTTGAACAACAGCTTCTACAGTTAAAAATTAAGAGCCACTAGTCAATAAGGGCCTCCCCATATCCAACAACCCTCTGACCACCTTAAGTGGGAGGTCCTCTATGCTGAGTGTTCAGCCCTCTTGTCTACCAAACAGCCCAGCTACTCTTTGGAACAGAAGAGACAGATGGTGAGGCTGTCGGAAATCTCATCCTGGCAGAAGTGGCTGTAGGCCTGGGAGTGATCAGCCCAGAGAAGGGAGAAAAATGAGTCCTGAACATTGCTGAAAAGCTCTGGTGCTGAAGGGACAGACATGGTCCCCTGTGACCTCAGAGGACAGAACCGAAACCCAGGCTTAGGGCTAGGGCAGGGATGGCACAACACAGGAGTCTGGTTCTGTGGACTGTTCCCCCGTTCAAGTGGTGCTCCCCATCCTGGGAGGGATGTAAGCCCGCATTTCACTGGGGATCTGAGGCATCATGGCAGACTGGGGAAAGCTGGACTCTGAACCTCAGTTTTCTTGTCTGGAAAATGGGGATGAGCACACCTGCCATGCTTAGACAATGGAGGGGGGTAGGTGTTAATCAGGTGATTTGCCCAGCACAGAGTAGGGGTCCCATCAGTGCACGTTCTCCCCTCCCCGCCCTGTGTTCACCCCCTCATATGGCTTTCCTTTTGGAACCTAAAACTAAAGCACCAGCTACAGATTTAACACCAAGTAACACCAAAGAAGGGAGAGGCATGGCCCTGCCTTCAAAGGGTGCTCTGGTTGGCAAATGACCAGCCAGCAGGCCCAGAGCCCTGTGAGGCCCTCAGCTTGACTAGAGGGCAACATGGTTTAGGAGAGTGTTGGAGCGGTCAGGGAAGACTGGTCAGGCAGGTCCTCAGATGCCAGTCTGAGGAGCCAGCACTTGATCCTGGAAGCCCTATGGAGCCACTGAGGCTCTGGAACAGGCAGGCCACTGCACCGATCATTAAGAATGGTGTTAACCCCAGCAGCCATGGAAGGCGGCAGTGCAGGGGCATGGAATGTGAGAGAGGGCTAAGATGTGGCCTCCTCCCAGGTGGTTGGAGGACCCATGGCCCTGGTGGCAAGCGTGCAGCGCCTGGCACCCCTGCTGAGCACTGTGCTGACCACTGAGCGGCCGCGAATGCACGTCCAGCACCGCCACGCTGGTGAGTCTGCCCCCCCACCCATCAGATGCTCCATTCTGTTTCCTGCCTTTGCCCATGCTGTCCCCTTCATCCTGAATGCTCTTTCTCTCTTCATCTCCTAGCAAACTCCTATGTATCCTTGAGAACCCTGCTTGAGCATCAACGCCCCTAGGAAGCCTTCCCCAATTTTAACTCTCTCCTGACAGTCAGTTCCTCCCTCCTCTGCTACCCCAGTGTCTTGAACGTATCTTTTGTTGCATTTGTGGTCATGACATAACTCCACCTGAAGCTCCCTGAGTGCCAGGGCTATTTCTGAGTCATTTCCGCATTTCAGGGCCAGACCCAAGTACACACTCAGTGAATGTCTGTAGATTGAGTGGGGGAGCACTTATGGTGCAACTTCAGGCAAAACTTGGGTCCTTCAGGTGGTTTCTAGTGGCTCATTGATATTCAGGTCCTGCCCCCCTAGCGACTCCCCCCTTCTCAGTCACCCCCTCCCCCTAGACTTGGAGAAGGCAGATTTACCTGGGGCAAGTTGCTGAACCTCTCTGAGCAGCAATAGTGGCCTCCTAGGTGTGCAGCAGGGAGAGAGGAAGCAGACCCTGCCACTGGGCCAGCTCAGCAGAAAGAGCTCCCTCTCAGGGCCCGGCCACTCAGCCCCATTTGATCCCAGGCCTGGAGGTGTGGCATCTACGCTTGAGAGAGACCAATGCGGACGGCATCGTGTTCACAATGCCTGGTGGGCATCCAGAGGGGCCGGGCCACATCCGCATCCCCACCGTTGAAGTGAGGCGGCTCCTCCAGAAAGGTGAGAGATGGGGACAGGTCGTGGGGGGAGTCGGGTGGTGGGGCCCTGCTGAGTCTGGGTCCAACCTCAGCCCTTACAGTTGCCACCTCCCCATCTTTCAGCACTCTTTCCTCACCCGATGTGAGGTTGTCGCATTAGTCATATTAGTACTTGCCTTATGGGTTGTTAGGAGGTTAAAAGCACCTACCACGTAGTAGGTGTTCACTTAGCCTCCTCCCTGAACCCCATGCATTTTCCTTTGGTGCCACCCAGCGGTGGAGGATGAGGACACGGGACAAAGGGCTTTGAAGATGTGGGTTAAGCACATCAGCTATGGCTGGTTGGAATTCTGACTCCACCATTTATTAACTGTGATCTTTGGGAAGCCTCAGTTTCCCTGTCTGTAGGGTGGGCAGAGCATTTCCCTTGGGACCAACCCATGGTGCTTGCTCAGTCACTGGGTGTGTCCGGGGCCCCCTCCTCCTTCATCCAGGCCTCTCTGGAGTCACCGTGATCCACTGTTGGTTCAGCTCCAGTGTCTTCCAGCACACCCGGGGGGCCCCGGGCCAAGAACCTCAGACTCCTGACAGCTCTGAAGAGGCGAGCAGGATGCAGAGGTGGGTAGGCTGATGCGGGCCTGGATCCCCTCCCGAGGAAAGGCCAGGCCTCCATCCCCTCCCAAAGCCCCAGTTCTGGTGGGTGAATCGGCCCTTGGCAGCCCAGAGCCAGACGCTCTCACCCCTGACACACATGAGTTGCTGGGCCTGCCAAAGATGTGCTGGTGGGAAAGCAGCTCAGCTCCTACCAGGGCTCCTGCTTCAGTGCTGAATCTCAGGGAGGGAACAGGACTTATTCAAGTTACCAGCAAGAATGGAACCCAGGTGCCCTAATTCCCAGGTGAGATGTCCCCAGCCATGTATGACTTCTCCCCCCGCTGACAGCTGGTGCCCTTAAAGCTCCCTCTCTCCCAACAGGTTCCTAAGCACCCAGGTGGGGTCAGCCATCATCTCCTCTGAGGTGTGGGATGAGACGGGGGAGGCCAGCACGGCTGTGACCTTCCACCTCCAACACCAGGTACTCGGTGATGCTTCTGGGAAACAGCCACCTGGTAGTTATCCTGATTTGGTGCCCCCCACATCCCGATATTTGTTCACAAACAACCAAGATCCAAAACTGTTCAAGAAAAATACACATCCACAGGCCATCCCCTTGTCCTCGAGGGAGGGGGAGGGGAAGTAATGCATCACACACTTACGTGACTCGAAAACTGCAAGGAGACGTACAGAGGCTTGCAGTGCAGCCTGCTTCATAAGCATAAAAATAACCTTAAAAGAAAAAAAATAACCTAAATGTCCATGAGTAAGGGGACTACTTAAAAAGCCATGTAGAGTTACACAGGGGAACAGTCAGCTGAGGTTATGCAAGGAATGAGGTATTTTGTTATAAACTGACATGGAAAGATCCCCAAGATATGTCATTCAATTAATTGCATGTAATACACAAATGCCTTCTCACTTTTGAAACTTCAGAGCATTCCAGGGAAAACAAAAGTCTCTCTTGCTCATAATCACTATTCCTGGACACAGACACACACCCCACAGCTTGTCAGTCTGTTGTATATCACTCCAGACTTCTTAAAAATCAATTTGATTGAAGTATCTAAATCTGCATACGCTGAAGCACCCACCTGAAGTGTACAACTTGATGGGTTTTGACCAGTGTGTGTAATCACGCATCACCGCCCCAATCAACATACAGAACTTGCCCACCTTCCCAAAAGTCTTTTTCATGCCCCTTCCCCAGCAGCCTTCCCACTCTGACCCAGGAAATCGCTGCTCTGCTTTCTGTGACTGTAGATTATGTCTGTCTTTTGTAAAGTTTCATATAAATGGAATCATAGAGCATGTGCTGTGGTCTGGCTTCATTTGCTCAGGTGGTGTTTTTGAGAATCTGTATTGTTGTCTGTTTTAATAGTTTGCTCCTTGCTACTGCTGTGTAGAATTCCGTTAGATGGGTAGACCATAATTTGTTTTTCCATTTACTTACTGACGGAGATTTGAGTTGTCTCCAGTTTGGGCTATCATGAATAGATCGACTGTGAACACTCATATAAAGTCTTTTTTGTGGACGTATGATGTCTTTCTACTGGGTGAAAACCCAAAAGCGGACTTCCTGGGTTGTACAATCAGTGTATGTATACATTAACTTCCTAGGAGACTGTCCAAATGCCTTTTCCAAAGTGGCTGTACCATCTCACGTTCCCACCAGCAGTGTGTGAGCGTTCCAGTGTCCTACACCTTTGCTAACATCCTTGACTGCCATTTTTATATTATCCATTATGATGGTTCTGTATTGTTAGCTCACTGTGGTTCTAAGTTGCAATTCCTTGAAGACGAATGATTTTGAGCATTGTTTTTACATTTATTGGGCATTCTTAGATCTTCCTTAATTCCTTTATTCAGTTAATATAGTAAACTGCATTGAATGATTTTCAAATGTGAAACCAACCTTGGATTCCTGAGATAAACCCCACTTGGTTATAGTGTATTATTCTTTGTATATATTGCTGGATTCAATTTGTTAATATTTGTTAAGGATTTCTGTGTTTATGTTCATGAATAATGTGTTCTGTAGTTTTCTTATACGTCTTCCTCTGGTTTTGGTATCAGATTAATGCTAATCTCATATAATGAGTTGGGAAGAAGTCTCTCTGTTTTCCGCAAGAGTTTTGCAGGATTGGTGTTATTTCTTCCTTAAATGTTTGACAGGCCAGTGAAGACCAGTGAAGTCTTTTGGGCTTGGTGTTTTCTTTGTGAGAAGATTTAGAAGTATGAGCCCCTTTCTTAAATTGATATAGGGTTATTTAGGGTGTTTCATTTATTCTTGAGATGGTTTTGGTAATTTGTGCCTTTTAAAGAATTTGTTCATTTCATCTAGGTCGTTGAATTTCTAGCCTTAAGTTGTTCCTAACATTCACTTATTAGCCATTAACATCTGCATGGTTTGTAGTGATGTTTGCCTTTTCTTTTTAGATCGCTCTAGCTAGAAGTTTAACAATTTGGTTTATATTTTCAAAGGACTAACTTTTGAGATTGTATTTATATATTAATTATGATTTAAAATACACTACAATGAAAAATAAATACAAGTAAGGGATTGCTCATGATGGCAAATTTGGAAAATGCAGAAGAAGGATCAAGAAGATAAACCCTATTATAGCTTCTGTGAACTTTTTCATATATTCCTCTTCAGCCTTTTTCTGGGTACATAACACTATATATATATTTTTTTCCCCTTTTGCAAAATCAAAGCCCATTCAGCTGAGCCAAGTAAACATCTGTGTTTTTCATTTTCCCTGCAGGTGTTTTCTGCATGGTCTCTGTCACAGATACCCCTTTGCCATCCTGTCCTTTCTCACTTGCTATTTGATCCTAGATTTGTAGGCCTTGACTGTGGCCAAGTCCAGAACCACCGCCTTCCCAGGAGGTGGTCCAAAATGAACGTGACCTCCTCCCAGTCATGTGTCCACAGTATCTGCAGATTTTTTAAAAATTACAATTAACCCTGCCTAACCCTGTGAAAATCCTCACTTATAATACATTTTGATTCTGGTGACTGTCTCCTGGGGACATATGGCCAGATGTGGGGCTCCTGGATACTAACAGTTTTTGACTTTTGAGTGTACAGCTGCACTGATACTTCAGTTTGTACCATGTGAAAATGCTACCAGTGGTGTAACGGCATTTAAAAAGTGAACGGCAGGTTTCTTTGTGTTCTCAGCATCTAACATAGTACCTGAGACCCAGGAAAAATACTATGAGTGAATGAATACAGGTGATGATTATTCAGCCAACCCAGGAAATAATGTTTCCCAGAGGCATCGTCACGGAGTGGTAGAAAGAGTATAGAGTGAATCAAGTCACAACCCAGTCTCAGCTCTCTGCTGTGTGATCACAAACAGATTAATTCCCCTCTCTGAGGCTGTTTCCTCATCTGAAATTACGTAACTTCATACCTGTCTACCAGGTTGCTATGAAGATCAGTCACAATAAAGGACATGAAAGTATTTTGCAAAACATGAAGTGTCATATTCTAGTGAGGTGACATTGCCGTTACCCTCCCCATTCGGGACAAATAGCCTGTCCTGGGCTCAGGCTACCTCCCTGCCTGGCCTGGGACTGGTACCACCTGATGTCCCCTTACTGCTTGATGACATCTTATAAAGTCTATATTGCTGTCATTGATCATTACAAAAGAACAAACCTGTGCATTATAACACATTCAGACTGAGATCTAACTATTGTTAAGTTAGCAGCGTGTGTGATTCCAGACTTTTTATGTAGACATTTTCACAATTACATAGAACCTTATTTTTTTCAACCATAAATGCACTCCTACTACACGTAAGGTCATGAATCTTTTTTCTATACTAAACAACATATGGCGAGCTCTTCCCCCGCCAGCAGAGACTAGTATGTGCTTGCCACACAGAGCATCCTGGAGGGAAGAGTTGCTATGATTGAATCACCCCTTAAGGATGGACATTTAGCTCGTTCCCAGGATTTCTATATTAACCACAATGTTGGCATGAACGTCTGCTGGCTTCACCTTCCTCCAGCCTCCCCACCAGTATTTTGCTGCAGCCCTTACACCATGACCCATGCTGGGCAACCCTCCGGTCCCTGAAACACACGGAGGCCTGCACAACCTCTGCATGCTCTGGTCTCTCTCCTGCCCACGTGCACTCACACACCTGCCCACGTGCGCTCACACACCTGCCCACGTGCGCTCACACACCTGCCCACGTGCGCGCTCACACACCTGCCCACGTGCGCTCACACACCTGCCCACGTGCGCGCTCACACACCTGCCCACGTGCGCGCTCACACACCTGCCCTGTCCCTGCTGGCTGCCCTTAGGCTTTCCCTCAGAAGCTGGTGGAGCCTGTCTGTGCTTTCTGGAACTTCAGCATCAGGTGAGTTTCCATTTCCAAGTTCTTTAAATAAGGCACTTTTTAAAAAAAAAATCCATTCTGCTTGAGGATGAGGCAGGACTGAAGTGTGTCTTGGGCCTCTACCACCAACTTCCTTGCGGGGGTGGCTCCGGGCCCCACTCAGCTGGGGACAAGCTGGGGCAGGAGAGCCTGTTACCCAGGAGGTAGTGAGCTCCCTGTCATTGGAGGTATGCGAACCTACTCTGTGGGGTACCTAGAAAGGGATTTATCTATCGAGTGGGTGTTAGAGTTGATGTATCCAAGATCAGGGAATGAACATCGATTACTGTTGTTCCGTAATTAATGCAGTTAATCAGTGGTAATCAGCCCCATCCTCCTACCCTCCTGAGAATGCTGAGTACATTTTACAGATGGGGACCTGAGACCCAGAAGGGGCAGTGACTTGCCCAAGGTCACATACCTGGTTAGAGGCAGGGCACAGAGGGACCCTAGGCTTTAAGGAGAGGCTTTTCCCTACTTGCCGCCTCCCCACCGCCACCCCCACGTTCAGCCCTTCTCAAGAGCCCCCCTGTTCCGTACTCACCCCAAGCCCAGACTCAGGGGGCTCCTGGGCCACCACTGGCTGCTCCGTGACTGCCCTGTATCAGGACTCGACCGCCTGCTTCTGCAACCACAGCACCAACTTTGCCGTCCTGTTGCAGGTGTACGACGTCCAGGTGAGTGCTGGGGAGGTGGGGAGAGCAGGGAAAGGTGAGGTCAGAACTAAATTTTAAAGGATGAACAGGAGCAGAAAGGCATTCCAAGCAGAGGGCCAGACCGAGCAAGGCAAGGAGGCTAGAAAAAGCAGACATGTTACAATCTGCACCTGCGATGTGTCTGGGCTTCCAGTGAGACGACCAGGATGGAGGTGGATGGGGGGGCAAGGTGGACACGGCTCAGATCACGCAGGCCTGGAACGGCTGGCTCGCGTGCTTGGATCTTGGTCCTGTTGCAGAGAGCAGGTGTGGAGGAGTGTGAAGAAGGCGTTAGATTTGCCACGAGGGAGCCCGCTGGTGCAGGCAGTGAGGCTGGAGTAGGGTGGGGGGTTTTGGGCCTGGCCTAGGAGAGCGGAGAGGCCCTGGACCAGGGAGAAGTGGGGAGACTGGGAGACTGAGCTGAGGAGGGAGTGGCCTGGGCCACTGGGGGATGAGGGACTCACCTCTGAGGAGGCACAGGTGGGCCACAGCTTTGGGTGGGTCCCATGTGTGGGGAGCTGTGAAGTCTGGGTCTGTCTGGTGGACGGGGTGGGCGGGGTCTCAGCCGGAGGTGAAGAGCCCGTAGGTAAAGCCATGGCCTAGATGAGGTCAGAAGTAAAAGGAGATGTGACCAAAACAGGCCCCTGACAGGCACCATCATTTACAGATTTGGGGGGAAAAAGCCAAATTCCAGGAGGGGGCCTAGAGAGGTGTGCTCGCTGGAGCCAGCCAGGGACTCTGAGTGGTCACTTGCCAAGAGATTGAGCAAGACAGTGTCCTAGCCCAGGATGCTGGGGTCACTCGGCATGATGGGGAACACACTAGAGAAACAAGCTCCCTAACACATTTTTCCTGTGAAAACAGAGCATGGACATTTGGCACACCATGAATAATCCATGCCAGCCCCATATACCCCCTCAGTGTTGCTGTCACAAGCCATCCCCTCCCCGTGGGTGTCAGTCACTTCCAATCTAGTGCTCTTAGTGGCTGTGGAATCAGTGAAACCTGGGCCCCAGTTTAGGGACAACCAGCAGGAGAGGACGTGCAAATGCTCCCTTATTAAGTGCCTACTGTGTGCAGGCCTCATCCCTCTGGCAGAAGAGGAGGCAGCGTGGGGAGCCTAGGAGTAGCCGGGTGGGGGCAGGTGAGGCCTGGGCTCATCAGGTCAGTGTGATGAGGCTACTGTACTCTGGGGTCTCTGTCCCTCCACAGAGGGGCCCCGAGGAGGAGTCACTGCTGAGGACGCTCTCGTTCGTGGGCTGTGGTGTGTCCTTCTGTGCCCTCGCCACCACCTTCTTGCTCCTCCTGGTGGCCGGGTGAGGCAGGCTCTTGATTAGCCCATTCACCAGGATGCGGGTGGGGATGGGGCTGACAGAGCATGGGGGCTGGTGGTGGCTTCCTGGTTAACCACCTCCTCTGCCTGTTCAGGGTCCCCAAGTCAGAGCGAGCCACCATCCACAAGAACCTTACCTTCTCCCTGGCCTCCGCCGAGGGTGTCCTCATGGCCAGCGAGTGGGCAAAGGCCAGCGAGGTGGGCGGCCAGCAGGTGGGCTTGTGCGCTCAGGGGGCCTGGGAAAGCACCTTCAGCCTTTTCTGGGTTGCTGCCCACATCTTCACTTGGCTCCACTTCTGGGGAGGAGCGAGGCCCTGAGGCGAAAGGCCCTGAACAGTGGAGCTGGGCCCAGGGCGCTGCCTGGCAACCTTTCCCACTCATACTGCTTTGGGTTGACAATGCCAGGGGTGGGCAGGGGGACCCAGGGTGGGCTGCACCCATGACTGGCCTCGGTGGGGGGTCCCCTACCCCCCACACAGGTGGCGTGTGTGGCTGTCACTGCAGTGATGCACCTGCTCTTCTTGGCCGCCTTCTCCTGGATGCTAGTGGAGGGGCTGCTGCTGTGGAGCAAGGTGGTGGCGGTGAGCATGCGCCCGGGCCCCAGGCTGACGCTGTACTACGCCACAGGCTGGGGTGAGGCCCTCAGCTCCCCATTTTCGCTCTGTTCTCCTCAACTCTGCTGTGTCCAACACCAACCACCCCACACCCAATGCCGCCTAACACAGCCCAACACCCACCTCTGCCAGCTCCCTAATCCGCGACCAGCGAACTCCCAGGCCAATCGCCAGTTTCCACCTCTGTTGATTCCCAACTCTAAGGCCTCAACTCAGTCTCAGCTCCTCCAACTACTTAGGGCTCTAATGCCACCCCAGAAGTATCAGGCCCACCCAATCCTACTCCCCAGATCTCCGAATGTTGCCTCTACGCCTCCTCCTGGGACAGCTGGGGGGCTGCAGCCCTGGGTGGGGGCTGGGTCCCAGAGAGGACAGGATCGGTGGCATGGTCCTGAGGTCACTTCCTCTTCCCCTAGGTGTGCCCGTGGCCATCGTGGCCATCACCCTGGCCATGTGTCCCCATGACTACGTGGCCGCAGGGCACTGCTGGCTCAATGTGCGTACAGACACCATCTGGGCATTTGTGGGGCCCGTGCTCTTCGTGCTGACTGTGAGCGGGGAGGCCTGGTGGCCCTGCAGGGGAGGGACATGTTGGGGGAGGGGGACTCTTTCACCCACTGACACCAGGTCTCCAGGCCAACACCTGCATCCTGGTCCGTGTGGTGATGGTCACTGTGTCCAGCGCCCGCCGTCGGGCCCGCATGCTGAGCCCACAGCCCTGCCTGCAGCAGCAGATCAGGATCCAGATGTGGTGAGGCCGCAGCTCGGAGGAGCAGGGGGAAACGGGGGAGACAGATGTGAGGCTTGCTGGGCATGAGCAGGTGTGAGTCCTGGCCGGGTGTGTGTGTGGTCGGGGTGCTCATGGGTGCAAGGCTGCAGGTGAGCCTGTGTGCAGTGTCTCCCTGCTGTGGGTGCCCGCAGGCTCATGCATGTGGCGCGTGGAAGCGTGTGCCCATGCGTGTTGTCTGTGGGGATGGTGATCAAGCCTGTGTGTATGAGGGGTGGTTAGACACCTGCCACTGTCCTGGGGACTCACCATCTGCAGAAGGCACTGATGGCACATAGGGACAAGGAAGGGGAGCCCCCAGATCAGACAGTCCCAGAAGTTCAGGTTCAGGGTGAAGATCTAAGTCTCTGCTCAGAACCCCCATCACTCTCCAGGGCCATATCCTGCTGGAGGGGGCATCCCCTGGCCTTCCTTTGCCCTGCCCATCCTCTGCCAGGGGCAGGGCAGCCCAAGCCAGTAGGGCCCTGAAAAGCCAGGCAGCCCCAGGGGCCCCTGAGGAAAGGGAAGAGGAAGCCCTTCCAGACTCCATGTCACCTGGACCCCCTGTCCAGGCCTCAGCCCTCCCTCTGGGCAACTGCCACCCCTTTCTTTTGAGTCAGGTGTGGGCCTGGGACCCTGTCTCCCCAGTGTCCCTACCCCTAGGTCATGACAACCTGAGTCACTGAGAAGAGGCTGCCAAGTCTAGCCAAAGGTTCCAGCTACACCTATGTCCTGAGAAGCAGTCCCTGGTCTGCAGCTCTGGCCCCTCTCCAGGCGCTTTCCAGATGCTCCCTCCCCAGAACCCTGTGGGGAGTGCCCTGGCCGCCCTCAGCCCTGCCTGCCGTCCCACAGGGCCACAGTGAAGCCGGTGCTGGTCCTGCTGCCTGTCCTGGGCCTGACCTGGCTGGTCGGCGTGCTGGTGCACCTCAGCCCTGCCTGGGCCTACGCCGCCGTGGGCCTCAATTCCTTCCAGGTACCCTGGGCCCCGGGCCATGTGGGACCAGGGCCCTGACATGCGCTGGAGCTCAGAGGGCGTGGCTGGTTTGTCAGGGGACTGGGGAAGGAGTGTCCTCTTTGCCAGAGGAGGCACCAACAGCAAACGGAAGCGTGTCAAGGTGGGCGAGGGGCGAAGGGGAGCATGGGGACAAAACCTTGACTCGAAGAGCAGTACTTCGGGCAGAATTCTGTAGCCCATTTGACAGCTGGGGAAGCTGAGGCCCAGAAAGGGGATGGCTTGATAGGATGCCTCGCGCCCTGACACTCCAGGGTGAGACAGAAGTTCCAGAACCCAGGCTGTGCTAGAGCCCCGTCAGGCCTCGACAGGAAGCTAAGGTTGGGACGTGGGGCCCCGGGGACCTCTGCCCCCGGGGTCTGTGGGCGGCCTACCGCGAGGCAGCATGAGCCGTTCCATTGTCGAGGACAGCAGTTTAGAAAAGGTTTTGGTTGGGAGGACATGATCCACATAAATGAAGCAGTAACGGTAGGACTTCAGGAACCTTCCTGTGTGCTTTCGGGTCCTGCGTCCTGTCCCCAGAGATGGGTCAGACTAGGTCCCTGTCCTCAGGGAGTTTGCAGATCTATGGGGGACCTGGGCCTGGACACAGACAGCCACAGCCTGGGGGCTGAGTGCTCAGAGGGAGGTGGGAACACGTTATCTGCACCCACTCCTCCCAGCTCTGCCCAGCCCAGGTCCCTCTCAGGGCTGAGAAGCGGGGTGGTCCAGGGGTGGCCAAAGTCAAGCTTAGGAAATCAACTGCAAACTTCATCCAGGGTCCACATGCCCCTAGAACTGGCCCTCCTGGGGACCTCCTATCCTTTCCTCAGAGAAGGAGTGCTGAGGATCCCCGGGGACTGAGCCCTGGACCAGGATTACATCTCTTAATAGACCTTACAAATGGGGAAACTGAGACACCATAAAGTCACTTGCCCAAGGCCTCACAGTAGGAAGGAGCGGTGCTGGGGCCGGAGTCCGAGCCTGTGTGCTCAGCTATTGGAATATTCAGCTTTGACCGCAGATAGGCCTGGCTTGTTCCTGGAAGAGCTGCCGAGGCTGAGGGTGGGAATGCGGAGCCGGGGTCGCAAGGGGCGCCTACACCTAGCACCCAGTTAGTCATCCATGCGTGCAATATTTGTTGAATGCTCACTAGGGGCCAGGCATTGTTCCAGATGCTAGGAACACGGCGTCAAAGGAGGCTGCACAATGCCCTGTTTTTGTGGAGCTGACATGCGGGAGCGAGGCAGACATGCCGCAGACCAGAGAGTGAAGTGTTAAGGGAGGGATGAGGCAGGGAGCGGGGAGGGGTGCAGAGGGGTTTGGTCTCCAGGGTCCTGGTCCATGGTATCATCTCCCCCTGGGCCTTGGGGATGCAGCACTTCTGCCAGGCAGCTGTGGGAATGGAGAGAGGAAAGAACTGGAAGAGAGGGGACAGCTGGGGGAAGATGGAGGTGGTGCCCGGAGAGGGGCCTGGAGAATGAAGGAAAACTGGGCTTCCAACGCTCTTCTCAAAGCAGCACATCTCCTAGAGACCTGGGGGGGCCTGAGCAGTTGGGGACAGAGATGGACACAGAGAAGCCCTTCTTCCAAGCCCCACTTTCCCAGAGCTCCATGGGCTGGAATCCAGCTCAGCCCACTTAGCAGAAAGACCCTGCCTAGGTCTCTCCACCCTGCCAGAGTGGCAAGGGAAGCAGCATCACGTTGCCATGGCAACTACTCCAGCTCCATCCCTGCCTGTGGCCCTCAGGTGAGCAGAGCTGCAGCCACAGAGTCAGAGCTACCATCACCGCCCTTTCTCCCTCCCTCTCATCCTTTCCTCTCTCAGTGTCTCGTTTCTTCGTCTCTGTCTCTGAATTTTCCCTGAGATTCTTTCTCTGCCTCTCAGGCTCTGGCTCTGTCACAGTCTCCTCTCCCTGTCCCCTTCTCCTCTAGCATGGACCCACCTGCTCTTCCTGGGCTTCTCTCTACCTCTCCCCTTCTGTTGAGCTCGGACCCCCTGCCTCTTGGTCTCTTACCCTGCCTCTCCCTCTTTCTGAGTGTGCCCTCTCTTGCCCACTCACAGCCAACCTCAGACCTTCAGATCTGGTGAAAGGAGGGGAGAGGATGTCTTTGGGGTTGGGGGAGGTCAGAAGGCATGAGACCTGGGCCCACTCTAATGTTCCTATGACTGTCAGGTCCTGTGACTGTCGGGAGGGTCCTCTGGGTCCCTCCCCACCACTCCCCTCTCCAATCCTGGCCTCTTCTCTCTCTTCCATCAAACCTGCCATGTCCCTGTGCCTCTCTCTCTCCCTGCCCCACCTCCAGCCCCAACCTTCACTCACTCTGTCTTGGGCATAAGCTGGGCAGTGCCAGTGCAAGGTGACCAGGGAGCAGGCCTGGGGCTGGAGGGGCTGAAATCCCCCCAGGCTCATTCACTCTTGGGGGTGATCTGTTTCTGTCTGGCCCCCTGTGCCAGGATTTGTGGTGGAAGAGCCTCACTTACCCTGCCTGAGGGTCTTGTGGGGAGGCCTGGATAAGTTGAAACAGGCCTCGGTTTCTACATCTGTATAGAGAGGGTCATATTCTCCACCTCATGGGATCGTTGTGGGTTCTGTTGAGATATTGGCAAAGGGTAAAGCATAAAACCTGGCACACGTCAGGAGCGCGGAGAGCTAATTTGTTTCATTCGGTCATTCAGCGTGTACTTACTTCCCCAGCGCCTCCCCTGTGCCCGTGCTGGGCTGCAGACTGGAGAGTGTAGTGGAGCAACAGGATCAAAGAATCCACCCTTGGAGGTCTCGGCCTGAGGGGCCAAAGCCACAGAACCCCAGTATGGCACTACTGAGACTGACAGACCAAGGGACAGTCAGGGCAGTATGCAGAGGCAGAATGGGTACTTCCTGGAGGCAGTTGTTCTCAGCTAATACCTGAAAACTGCATGGAGAGAGGGGAAAAAATGTTTTAAGTCAGGGGAGCATAGGGGATCAGTGGACAGAGACATAGGTAGGGGGAGCTGGTGAGAAACAGGACAGGAGGGGACATGGGAGCCAGACTGCAGGGTTCCCAGAGCTGTTGTAATGAGCTCAGTCTTCATCCCAGGAGTACTAGGGAGCCGTGAAGGACGTTAGGCAGGTGCTGGTATGGTTAGGTCAGAGTTTGGAAAGATGTATTTGTTTAGGTGTGAGGAGAGGGTAAAAGGAGACAGGATGGGGGTGGCTTGTGGGGGCTGCAGAGAGAGCACAGGCTGGGTGGGGGCGGCTAGGAGGCACCAAGTTCTGTCTTAGGGGCTGGGTTGGGGCTGGTATCAACCCAGTTGGTGCCTGGGAATCAGGGGGAGCAGTCACGCTCTGGGGCTCCAGTTCTCAGCCCTGGGAAGCTGGAAGGCCTAAGGAACCCCATGTATCCCCAGCTGTGCCCTTCAATCTGAGCCTCAGTGGGGGACTGTTGTCTTTTGCAATGGAGTGGAGTCTAAGGAAGTCCTAGGCTGCAGAGTCCACCTGCTGGGCCACACTTCAGCCTAGAACTTCATGCTCTGTCCCTTACCCTGGGCCCTAGGGTCCCCCTCCATCAAATGGGGAGAATGAATCCACCTCCCCCCACCATGGAGCTGCTGTGAGGGTCAAGGGTCACCCCAAGTGTGATGCTTTGAGGTGGCCAGGCCCCCATGTCCTCACATGTGTGGGGAGGAGGAGCCAGCTACAACTCAGCCCCCGTGCTGAGTCCTTCACCCACAGCAGGAAGCAAGTCCTGGCCTCATCCCCACTTTCCAGATAGAGGCTCAGAGAGGCACTCAGCTAGAGGCACAGTCAGAATGCAATCATAGTCTGCTGTCCCTGGACCCAATTTAGCCTTGGAGCCTCAGAAGGTGTCCCCTCTCCCAGTCCCCACCCTTGCAGCGTGGAGAGGCTATGAGGATGGGGCAGATCTGAGGTGGGGGGCATGGAGGTATAGAAGGCAGAGAGGCTGCTGGTAGCCAGAGACTGAAGGCATGTGGTCCAGCGGGGCAAGGCCCCTCCTGGTTCTCTCTGCCCTGGAATGCCACAACTGCCCCCTTCCCACTGTGGGTTGAGGGGCAGGGCAGAGTCCATCAGCCTGTGTTTCTGAATGTCTCTGAGTGTGCCTCTGCTGCAGCGCAGCACACCAGGCAGTTGGGGGTAAGGGTGTGGGGCTTCCAGGCAAACACCCAGCCTCACACTGGTCTGTCCTCAGGGGCCGTACATCTTCCTGGTCTATGCCGCCTACAACGGGGAGGTAAGTCAGGGGACACCAGCTGCTGGGGGGTGGGATGGAGGTGGGGGCGGGCAGGGCTTACTTGCAGGGAGCTCTGGGGCCAGTGGGGGTTGGGGGAGGGTCCCAGGACTGACTTCAACCCCACCCCCCAGGTCCGGAGTGCCCTGCAGAGGATGACTGAGAAGAAGGCAGCAGAGACACTCACGGTGGGTAGGCATGGGGGCCAAGGGGTGGGAGGTACCACCCACAGTGGGGCCCCAGTGCCAATGGCCTTTCCTTTCAGGCTCACTCCAGTCCAGCGGTCCCAGGATTCCACCCTAGGCGCTCAGGTCCCTGGGAGGTGGCCCAGGACAACCCTGTAGTCTTGGCTCCACCCCGAAGACACCTGGCTCTTAGAGGTAAGGCCGCACTGCCCTCCAGTCCGAGCGCCACCTGGTGACACAGTCTCCTCAGCACTAAGAAGGCAATGGTAGGTCCTGTTAGCCCATCTGAAAGACAAGGAGACTGAGGCCTGGAGAATTCTGCAATGGGGGAGTGGCTTAGAAAAGTCTCCTTTCCTACCACCATCACCAGGGAACAGGGGCCCCTGGTGCCCAGCCCAGAGGCCAGGCTTGCCCAGGGTCACCTTCCCTGGGTCCCGGTGCAGAGGGGTTTGGGGGGCTCCTGAGGCAGGTAGGTGGGTGAGGTTCCAGGCCCTGCAACAGGACATGAGTTGAATAATTTCAAGGTCAGGCTAGGAATTCAAATCCCAGCTCCTACTTCACCTGCTGTGTGCCCTTGGGCAAGTTACCCTGCCTTTCTGGGCCCTAGTTTCTTCACCACTGATCTATCAGGTAAACTTTGAGTAGATTCTTACGGCCTTTGGTAATAAGATCCCTGTCCAGGGTAGGGGAGCGGAGAGAGATCTTCCTGCCTCAGCCTCCTACAAGTTCACTGCTCAAGTCTTTTCCCCCACTAGGGACCCATGGCCCCAGAATTCCCACAAGCTTCTCCTCCATCGCAGAACCTGAGAGAACGGTGAGCCTGGGATGGGGTGGCATGGCACTGCCAAGGGGCTAGCAAGCGTGACGGGCAGGGTTGGGGAAACCACAGGGACTAGGGTGGGGCTGGGGTGGGGGCTTCCCCTGGGGATCCAGGCGGCCCCTATCCGTCAGTTACCAGGTTGAAGGGCTCTGGAGCAGCTGGGATGTGCTAACTGCTTGCTGGCAGAACCTGAATGCCAAGGCCACTGGGGGTGGAGGAGTCATCACCAAGGTAGCTGAGGGCCCCCAGGGCAAGGGGAGCAGAAGGAGGGGGGCCGCCCCCTGAAAGACCTCCTCTGTCCTCAGGCCGTGGAGCTGACAGCATTCAAGGCTTCAGGTATAGCGCCCACCTCAAAGGGTTCCCCTCCTCCCCTTGGTGCCTGGACACCCCCTCAGCCACACTGCCCTGGAATGGAAGTGATTTGAGAAGCAACCACACCCAACCCCCCAAAATTTGAGGGGCTCTTCCTCTCACTCTGCTCCTTGTAGTCAGTGAAAATGCAGTGTCCGTGGGAGAGGCTCACTTAGGGATTAAACTGGGGACCCCTTCCCAGGCCAGTGGTACTGGTAGGGGCAGTGAGTGAGGAGCCTGTCTTATTCTGTGCCTGCACCCCCTCTGGCACCCCAAGGCCAGCTTCCCGGCCTCATCCCCTCTCAGGATCCCCGTCCTGATACCTGATGGTCTGAGAGATCTTCCAAAGCCGGTGCAAGTGCTTTCCCCAGCTGGACAGCTGATGGGTGTGATGGGGGCCTGTGGGAAGCGGGGCAAGGCTGGGGCCACCTACGCCCTGCTCAAGGAGAGGACTGGGCCTGGGGAGCTCAGCCTGGCCCGAGGGGAGCCTCGGGCACCCTGGCATCTTCCAGCCTCTCCGAGCCTGAGTTCCCACAGTCTTAAACCAGAGACAAGTCTATGAGGGGTGGGCTCAGCGCTGCCCAGCCTCCAACCACCAGATTTTTTCCAGCCAGAGCAAGAGGCCTGTTTATGGAGCTGTTACTGGGGCTGGGCTCTGAACTAAAGCCGGGCATCTGCTGACTCCTTTCATCCTGACCTGGGGAAACGGGGTGCTGTCATCCTTCCATTGTGCAACAGGGAAAGTTGAGGCACAGGGAGGCGCTGTGACCAGTCAGGGTCAGTGGCAGAGCTGGGGTCAGGCCCCCGTCCCAACAGATGGGGAAACTGCAGCGCACGGTAGTCACGTGAGTGTAAGTGTAGGCACATGTGAACCCAGGTCTCTATGACCCCCAGCTCCCAGCTGGCCTCCACCCCTGGCAGGTGTCCCTGTCCCTCAGAGTCGCAGCTTCCCCTTCTGCAAAGTGGGCTGGAGGCGCCCCCTGCAGGCCTGCCGGGAGGGCACAGGCACCCCGCGGGCGGCACCCCCCACTCCCTCTCCCAGCCCCCCCGCGCCCCCGCCCCCTCAGGCGCAGCGTCAGTGGGAACAAGAGAGCCGCAGGGGCGCCTCTGCGCTCAAGTGACAGCGCCTTTGTCTCCGCTGAATGGGTGCGTTGCTAAGGCCGCTCGTAGCAACGGAGCCGCTTCCACCTCGGCCTGGGAGGGACCCCCAACCCGCCTCGCCCTCCGGACGCCCTAGCCCCGCCTCCTCCCCGCACCGCACCACGCCACCCACTCAGGTGGCCTGAGCATGAAGTGCGGGGGAGTGGAGGCTGCCGGCTGAGTGTCCCTCGCGACGCCTGCCACTGCCCCTCCTGGAAGCCCGCGGAGCCCACCCCCGCGTTGTGGGTGTTCTCCAGATGGAGAAACTGAGGCTCAGAGGGGCTGAGAGAGGCCACTAGGGCCACCCAAATCAGAATCCCACCCAAGGTCTTCCCCCAGCCTCAGTTTCCAGCCCCCTCCCCACGTTGGCAGGGCGGGTCCCCATCTCGGTTCTCTGTCAGCCCAGCTGGCACTGAAGGGTTCACAGGAAGGATGCCCTTTCTTCCCAGGTTTCTAGAGGGAGTGCACAGGAACTTTCCTCCAAGCTCTGCCTGGGGACCCCTGAGAGGCCCAGCTGGGGGCCTCTGATGGACAGACCACAGCATCTTGACCACCACCCACCGCCAGTGGTCTCAGCCTCTCCCTCCTTCTAGTGGGGCCCCTGGTGCTCCTGCCAGGTGCACAGCTCTGTCCCCAGTTGTCTGTCTGTGACAGTCCTTCCCCTCTGCCCCGCTCCTGCCCTGAAGTTGGCAGCTCTGTGGTGTCCCTGGTAATAAATGATACTGTAGTGACCTTTCCTTCTCTGGGGATCACTCTGGCTTGAGGAGGTGGACAGGATACCCAGCTCCCTGGAAGGAGGGAGGGAGGGACAAGGGAAGCTGCCACTTTGGCTTTGGGACTCAAGACGGCCCCAGCTTCATCATCAGGGTAGGTACAGCTGACACTTATTAGCAACTACTGTGTACCTGGCAGGTGCTGAGCGCTGTACCGCCTTAAGAGCTGCAGGTCCTCACCTTAGCCCAGAGATCACCAACACCCCAATTGTACAGAAAAGGAAACTGAGGCTCAGGAAAATTCTCCATGACTCATACCTGCATCTCCCAACCAGATAACATAGAAGTCATGGGTAGCAGTCACTGTGAGTGGGAATCATCCAGGCAGACTGCTCAGAGGAGGCACCAGGGCAGGTGGGACTGGCTTCAGGTCTGATGTGTTGTGCTGCGAGAGGACCCCAACTCAGAGCTTGGCTATGGGCCCCTGTCCTGGTACCACTGATTCTGTGGCCACGGGCAAGATTCTTCTCTGAGTCCCTGTCTCCTCTTGGGTAGAGCCAGTTTCAGCAGTGACGACGTGTTAGGGTTTGGTATCAGGGTGGGCCCCAAGGTAGGGGCCAGGTGAAGGAGAAACCCAGGGGATGGGACCTGGGGCACAGAGGCTGTTAACACTGTCCGGCTGACCTCTGCCTGGCTCAAGTGCTGTGGGGCAGGAGGATGTGGTACAGCTGAGGAGCATCAGAGCAGCCTCCTGGGGCGGCAGCCACTCCAGGTGCAGGTGAGTAGAGGCGCGGCAGGGCTGTGGGAGAAGCGCAGAGACCCAGCAAGGTCCAAGCTGCACCTTGTCCCTCTGTGACCTCAGGATCACTCTCACCCTGGGCCCCACCGGTATTGAATCTGGGACAGAATCTATCCAGGATTTAGTTTGGCCCACCACACAGCACAGGGGTCTGGGTATTTCATTCTGGGAACTGGTATTTCATCCTCAAAGCCCAGTCCATCATCTGGCCCCAGGTGGTGAAAGAAGACACCACGCCTCTGTGGGGAGGAGCACAGCTCCTGTCTGCTCAGGGGAGGCACCGCAGTACCCCCAGGAGGAGGGGCAAGCTGGGCACCACCGCTTAGGTCCACTGAACAGGGGGCTCAGCCTGACCGGTTAGGCAGAGCCCGCTGCCTGTTACTGTGGGGTGGGAGTGGAGGGGCTGGAGCCTGGAGGGGCAGCAAGAAGGTGGCACTGAACTGGGCAGGGCACTTGGTGGCCCCTGCTGCCTGAATTCACAGTGTTCTCTCACTCCTTCCCCTCACCTCCAGAGGGCTCCTGCCTCCCCCCAGACTAATCATATGGGGGGGCAGGGTGAAGACCAAGGAGTCCTTTCCAGTCTCCCCATCCCCTGCTCCACAGTCTTTCTCCCCCCTACACATAGTCTTTACTTTTCAGCCAAAATAACTTTTCTTAGGTCCCCAAACAACGCTGGTTGACATCCCTCCATCCCTTTGCTCACACTGTTCCTTTGCCTCGACCGCCCCCAACTCTTATCTAGCTGGTGAACTCCTGGACATACTTCAAAACCTAGTTTGGATGACACCTCTGCTATGAAGACTTCCTGTCCCCTCTGGGAGCAAAATTAGTCACTTCCTTATCTTGTGCAGTTATGTGATGTGATCTGATTGTCTCCTTCTACAAGACTGAATATCCCCCAGCGGCAGGAACCAGGGTGTCTGCTTCAGGGCGTCTGAAGTTGCCAAGAGGCAAAGGGATGCTTTTTTCCTTGCATAAAAGCCACTGCCAAGCCCTGTGCCAGGGGCTGCCTTGCCCTAAGAGCGGTACCTTTTTCAATTTGCACAGAAGCATTGGGTGAACCAGGAGTGGCCCGGGGGATAAAGTAGTCAGGTTGGTCCAGGTGGGTCAGGGTGACAGAGGGTTGCATCGTGGCTGGCCCTTCTCAGTGTGTGACCTTGGACAGGACACATCACCTTAGCTTCTTCGTCTGTAATCTGAAGCCGCCACATACCCAAGTGGCTGCAAAGAGCTGATGGGACAAGACGAAGGAACAAAGCAAGCAAAGTCCCAGGAGGGCACCTGGAACAGAAGCGCTCCTCCGAGTCGTCTGTGCTCACTGCTGCCACCAAGCGGGGGAAGGGGAGGCAAAGGAATCAGTGAGAAAGGCCAGGCCTGGGACTTATGGGTGGCCACCAGATGGACAGAGAGGAAAGGACAGTGTCCTGAAGTCAGGTGGGCCCAGGTTTGAATGTGCCCCTGCAGATGGCTGACTAAAGGGCACTTACCAAGTACCTCTCCTGGATTATAACCCCTGCCTCAAGGGGCTACTGTAAGGACAGCGAGGTGAGGGATGGCACACAGCAGGTGCTCATTAAATGACTCTTTCCTTCTGCCCAAGATAACAGCTGAGATGCATGTCAGGATGGAACTGAGGCTGAGGCCCCAGAAGGCCCAAGCATCTCCCAGTCCTCCCAAAGGCCCCCCCCTCGCAGTGACTGGTGTCCCCTACCTGGCCCCCATACCCAGCCTGCTTCCCCCAGGTTTTGAACCAAAGGTTATCTGAATGTCGCCACCACCCCACTTGGAGCATGGCCCTGCCCTAGACCACCATAACCACCTAGGAGGTTCTGCTTTGGCCCCAGAATGCAACTAGGCAAAGGTAGCTGGAAACTAATTGCAAAATTTATTCCAGGGCTGCGGGGGCTGGGGGGTTCTTAAGGGCACTTCTTATTTTGGGGCTGGGGGTCTCCAGCCTGGCCAGGGGGGCACATTTCAGAGGAGAGGGGGAGGGACTGAGACAGGGTGGTAGAAGGCAGGGGGCAGGGATACTCAGTCACCTCCAACTGGGCAGGGTCAGCGCAAGCTGCAACAGCAGCGTGAAAGCAGGACAGACAGTGGATGCCCAGCCCGGGGACAGAGGACAGCCGAGGCCTCTCCCTTGTGCCTGGCTCTGGAGAGTGTCTTTCAGGACATAGGACGGGAGGTGAAGCCCAGCTTCAAGAGTTTGCAGCAATGGACCCAATGGGATGGGGCCAGTGAGGCTGAGCTCATCGGCAATGTCTCCGATGTGGAGACCCAGACACCCTCCCCAAGGTCACCTGCATTCCCACCCACAGAGACACCAAACCCCCCACAGGCCACCCTGCTATTCATCTAGTGGGGGGGGGGGAATCGCAACAGCTCTTCTGTGGATTGGAGCAGGGGCTCAGAAATAATCACCCAGCACCACCGTGGGGTACTTGGTATGAGGGTGTTTGGGGAGAAACCACGGGCTATTTGTACTTCATGCTAATCCCCAAATCCCAGCCTCAGTCCTTAAATCTGTCCCCTGTCTGCCCCCTACACACACCTTTCAAAGAGTATCTAAATTAAAAAACAAACAAACAAACAAACAAAAAAACCTGTTGACTACAGCCTTGCAGATAAATACCAGCCTGGACGGGCCACCTGTGACTGGGGCTAGCATGTTGATTGTGCCAAACGTCTCCTCTGGTGGGAGAGGGTTAGAAAGATGATTGTAGCAAAATTCTTTTCAGATAACATGTCAAAGTTCTCCCCTGCAGAAGTCAGTTGGGGTAGAAGGTTTAGGGAGGAAGTCTTTTGTCCTAACCTGTCTCCTACTGTCCTCTAGGGCCCAAGCGTCCCTGTCTAATTTTGCAAACTGTTACCCCTCGTTTACAAAACAGAAGGCTTCCCTTCTGGTCTCTGTGAGGGGGTTTTGGAGACCCTCCCCTGTCCCCCAGTGCTGATATCCACTCAACCTTTCTCGGCCTCTATTTCCAGGAAAGGGAGAAGGGGTGGCCTGTGATTCAAGGGACATTGAGGCCCACCAGGGAATCCGAACCTCCTCCCTGGGCCTGTGGTCCAGACCCCAGGACAGACAGCTGGGAGCAGGGGGAGGAAGAGGGGGGGTTAGCAGCGCCTCCTTGGGGCACTCAGAATGGCAGGCAAGGGCCAGGGGTTAGTGGGGGCCACCCCACCTCAGCCAGGCCCTGCCCACCTTCACCCACCTTCCCAAACACAGGGCTTCAGAAAGCTCAGGGGCAGGGGCCTATGTGGTGGGGTTCCTGGGTCAGCATAATAAAATAAACCATCTGGAGGGCCGTGGGGATGCTGCAGCCCCTCCCCTGGCCCCAGCCTGGGCCCCCACGCCCCTCCCCGGCCCAAGCTCAAGTCTGCTTGGCCTGCAGCATCTCGATGAGCAGGTTGTTTCGGGGCATCTCGTTGCCCAGGTGCTTGTGGTACAGGTATTCCTTGGCCTGCATGCTCAGCGCCCGCACTTCCACCAGGCACAGCAGCAGCTGCTGGAACTTGTCCCCGCAGTGCGGGTAGTGGCACAGGGTGTAATCGAGCAGGGCGGCGTTGGCCTTCTCCTGAGCGTCCTTCACCAGGCTGTGGTTATTCAGGAACTTCACATCTGCAAAGGGAGGAGCTCGGTCACCAGCCCCATCACAGCATCAACACTGTCGCTGGCGTCACCAACATCTCTGTGGTCACCAAAGACACAGGCCCTGCCACCAGCAGCAACAGACCACCACCTCCCCGTCACCACCACAGTGCCATCACTGTTATTGGCGAACGCTGCCACCGCCATCAGTCACCAGTACCAACATCCCTGTCTTCACAGACATGACCACTGCTGCCATCAACAACCAAACCATAAACATTTGTGTCACCACCGTTATCACCGTCACCACCATCACCTTGGTTGAACACCACCATCGGCAGGAGTTAGTAATGCTAACACCCCAGTGGTTCTGACAAACACAGCCACCATCAACCACCCCACCGCAATCACCCATCACCATCACTGCTGCCATTGTCATCATCCCCACCATCATCACCAAGACCACCACCAGCCTCTCCAAGGGTATCCCTGGGCACTCTTAATTTAACCTCTTAATTTCCTCACCTGCAAAGCTGGGTGAGAATAGCACCTACTTCACAAGACTGTTGTGAGGGCTCAGGATGTGGATATGTGGAAAGTGCTCAGAAGAACAGTGTCTGGCACAGAACAAGGCTCTATGGGTCAGTGTTATCAGTATTACTCCTACTCACCATGTCCACGAACAGCACCATCCCCAGCCCCACGGTCAAAACCACCCTGTCACCCTCATCCCCCAGCTGCACGGCACATGGACTGGTGGCCTCATTCTAGAGAATGACAGGCACTCCTTTGGCCCACCCCCTGACCAATCAAGAGGCTCCAGTACTCCAGGGGAATTCTCTCATGGGGCCGTGGGGGGCCACGGACGTTCACTGCAACTGTACTTATGGTGATGGAGAGGTGGCTTGGATGGCCACGTGGTGGCTGCGTCCGAGGGAGTCCTGTGCAGTAGACACAAGTAATAGAGCAGACACGACACAGAGCAAATGGATGGGCCTTTGAAAGCATGGGGCTGAGTGGGGGAAAACAAAAAACAAAAACAAAAACAAAAACAGGAGATCCCAAATGAGATCTACATGGTAAAGCCATCTACATAAATTAAAAATGCTTGCACAAAGCACGCACATTATGTAAGAACAGGGACAAACAAGAAGAGCCAAGCTAAACGTGAAGGAATGGTTGCAAATGGGGTGGAGGTGGCTCTGTGGGGACTGATAATCATTTGAACCAGGGACGGAGCAGTGTGATTAATACCTCTCCTACCCCGGAGGTCCAGTGAAGAGACCAAAAATAAAGTGTCTTTAACATGAAGTGGATGATGGTTCAAATCCCAGCCCCACCATCTAGAATCAGTGGCCTGTGCCCTGTCCTCTCCTGACCTGAAGGCCTTCTTCCTCTATGAAAGGGGCGGTTGCCCACCTTGCAGTGGAGGGAGCATGGGTGCACAGGTGGCCCCCAGGGGTGCTCCTGGAGAGCCAGTTTCCCGTCACGGGAGTCCTCCTCACTGCTCCCAGACACTGTTCAGCTCCTGGGCAGTATCTCCAGCTGGTGCCCTGCCTAGGGCCTGAAGGTCAGCAGGAATCCACAGAACCTGTCCCCATCCCCTGGTCCTGGCCACACCTTGTCTCGGATGTGGCACCCAGAGGCTCAAAAAATGGTCGTCCATCCACTTCCCCTCTGCTCCCATCACCCCCAGCCCTGCTGCCAAGCAGGAGTCCAAAGCCCCGCACACGCAGCCCTTGGCCCTTCTAATCCCTCTTAACACCCGCTGCGCCAGGAGGGCCGGATGCTCCTGGCAACCCTGATCCCCAGCCGCCCCCAGCGTGCCCGCCGAGACGTATGTTGTCCAAAGTCGGATTTAGGGAAACCCGAGCTGGACCCAGGGCGTATGGCAGGATCTGAGCCCCTGATCCTCCACCCACCACATCCCCCTCATCTCCCTTCAGTAAGCGAGCCAGGGTCAGATTCTTCCCGGCCTCCCCATGATCATCTTTAGCCCATATGGCATCTTTGTGCCAATTAGAAAGAAGTTCCCCCTTGTCCACAGAGAGACAGCTTGGTGGGGGGCACACAGGCTGGATTTCAGCCTTTACTCTTCCCCTGTCTAGGTGCCCTTGCTCAGTAAATAACCTGTCCAACTGTACACTCACACACACCAGCCCGGCTCCCTAGCCTGGCCCTCTCCAGACACACTCAAAGGTCATGGGAAGTCTCCCCACCTAACTAGCCTCCTGTGGGCAAGAGGTACCTACTGGCCCCATCTCTTTCTCAGTCTCTTTCCATTCCAGTCCTGCCCCATCTACCTTCAACCCCTCCACCATCCACAGAGCAGGGCAATTCTCCTGACATTGTCTTCTGACAATTCACAGTGGGAGGCTGGGGGTCCAGAGAAGAGTGGGGACCAGCTGAAGGCCACACAGCAGTAAAGGGGCCCAGAGGGAACAGTGAGGGTGGTGGGAGGACTGACTAAGATGCTGCAGTGGAGGCAGGAGTGGGAGGGGCCGGGGAGGACCAGACCCTTGGCTTTACCAGGATTTACTGTTCCCAGCAGCAGCATGCCAGGGACAACAGGGTGGAGTGCGGGGTTGGGGGTGCAGAACAAGGACAGCTTTCAGGGACACCCCACTGCTAGCAGCTCGCTGGGTCCTGCATTTCCTGGCAGGCTGGAGACCCTGCTACCACCACAAGGTGGGCTACGAGGCTGGGGAGGGAAGCGCAGTCACTGACTGAGCTCCAGCCGCTGCAGTACAAGACGCTAGAGCCATTTCCCCAGCATCCCCAGCACCTTGCGCCCAGCTCAGTAAATCCCTACAGACACCCAGGCCAGCAGGAAAGGGCATCCCACAGGGACAGTGGAGCAGGCCTGGAGTACACAATAGATGCCAGAGCCTAGAGGCAAACCCAGACCGCTCTGGCTCTAACGCCCTGTGGGCAAGCAGGGGTAGGGGCAACCCTGGACATGGGTTCCTGCGGGATTGGACATGATAACTTTACGTTCTCTCCAACCCAGAAGTCCTGTCCAAGGGCCCCCAAGTCTGGGGTCCTTGGTTTCCCCAGAGGGGCTACTCTGGACACCAGGCTCGACTCTCTCCTCAGAGATCCCAGTTAAGTCACGCCCCTTCTCCCAGCCTCCCTCTAGAGGGACTGTTGTGAAGATTCTATGGAATGACAGAGGTGACAGAGCCAACATCTCTTGGAACCCCATGCCCTTCCTCCGCACCCACCAAACCTGGAGACACCCCCTTAACGTGTCAGGGGCTCAAATGCCAGCTCCACCACCAGCTGGGTGACCTGGGGCATCTCCCTTCCCCAACCTGAGCCTCAGTTTCCTATTATTTGCAAAATGGTGGCAAATTAATCTCTGCCTCACAGGGCACCCAAGAACTGGACCTTGTCTGCTGCCCAGCTCTGGGCCCTGGGCCGCAGGCTGGAGGTGGGTCTGCTCAGCCCCCAGCCATCCCGGAGGTGGGGGGTGGGAGGGGGCTGGGAGATGGCACCCCCACCTCCAGAGCAGCCCGCTAGCTCTGTAGAGCTGGGGGCCCCTAGGTTCTCAGAAAAGCCCCCTTTTCACGGTTTAATTGAATATTTGAATAATCCTTTCATTCCAGCGAGGCATAAAGAATGTTGTCCCAATAGCGGTGACTCAGGCAGGCGCCCCCGCGCACAATGGCCCCTCGAGTGGGGCTGCTATTCAGGCCGCCTTTTGTTGGCGCGAGCAGTGGGTAAATTGCAAACGCTTAAGGGAATGCTGCTGCCGCCGCCTCAATGCAAGTCAGGAAATCGAATGTTAGGTCAATCCATTAAGCTTCGATTAAGTCCTCTGCAGAACAATGCCAGCCGGGCCCATCTTCATAAACACCGTGATTGCCAGGAGAGAGGCACTAATTTTAATTAAACCTCCTTACCTGCCTTCGCGCCTGCCTGAGACGGCTATTTAGACGCCAAATGGCACCCTTCTGTGGAGGCAGGCGAGAAGGAGGCGCTGAGTGGGCTGAAGGGCGGGGGTGGGGTGGGGCGGGGGACAGTCATCACACGGGTTCAGGCTGCCCAGTCCAGGGAGGCGCTGGCCCGGAGTGATGCCCAGCATGCCAGCTGGAGGAGGACGGGCAAGTAGCCACTCCTCTCGGGGCCCCAGTTCCCTTGGGGACCCAGCCAGGGTGGTCTGGGTGGGCTCATAGGAGTATCCCCCTCCCACCTTCCAGGCTCTGGGTGGGCAAGTCTTCCCCCTCGTCCTGCCCAAATCTGTCCACTTCGCCCCAGCCCCAGGTCTAGCCTCGTGAAGGGCTCCAGGGTGCCACCGGCCATCCTTGTCCGTGCTGCAGTTGGAAGGACCTCTCTAAAATGCAAATTTGATCATGTCACTCCCTGCTGAAAATCCTTCCCTAGAGAAGGTTCAAGGTACTTGGCCTGGCATTCAAGGCCTCACAAAGCTCGGCCCCTGCCCACCTCTCCAGCCTCCTCTTCACCCTCTCCCTGCCCCATAGCTACACCCAAAATCTCAGGATTCCCCATTCCTTTGCACAAGCCGATCCTCCAGTCTGGAATGCACTTGCTGCTGCTTGCTCTGTCTCACCCAAAACACTCCTACTCCTACCACAAGGCCCAGCTCAGAGCCCCTCCTCCAAGCAGGCTTCCCTGATACCCTAGGTGTCGCTGGTTTCTCCTCTGTGGCCCAGCCCTGGTCACACTGGACTGCTCAGGCTCCTCTCCTCACCTGGAACCTGTCAGCCAGCGGCCTCTGCTTCTCACCTGGCCCTCCGCTCACTGCCTACACATGAGCTCAAAGAGGCCCAGGTCCTGGGACCTTCTTCTCCCCTCACAGCCCCAACCTTACTATAGCTTCTGGCCTGCTGGGCAGAGCATTCCCCCACCATCTCAGCCAGACCCATGTCACTGCCCCCAAAGACAAGGCACTGTGCCAGCCACATAGTATGGGATAAAGATGGAGATGGACTGGTTCATTCGTTCACTTCATTCATTAACTTGTTCATTTCTTCATGAACTTAATGATGGTTATGATAAAAACACCACTGATGCATATTCCAAGGGGTGAGGCCATGCACTGCACGCTCTGGGGAATTTTCTTATTCAATCCTCCTAGCAAGCTTAAGATAGTTATGATGTTCATTTTACAGATGGCGAAATAGAGGCTCAGAGAGTGACTTACTCAAGGGCCATAATCAGAGAGTCCAGATTTAGAATCCAGGTGGTGTGTCCCTAGTCCCTTTTCCTAACCACTGCTCCACCCTACCTCTCGTGCGCGTGCGTGTGCACACACACGCACACTCTCACTCCTCTGTCCCACCCCTCCAGCCCATTCCAGCCAAGAACTGTAGACACTCCCAATGTCCCAGGCCCCAACTGCCTCCTCTGGAAAACAGAATGAAGGCTCGCATGTAGGAAGAGCCGGGCACTCATGGTACTGAGTACAGCCCCTCGCCTGGACCTGGGAGAAGAGGGCGGGGCTCAAACAAGGCTGTCCTCCCCGCACCCTAGAGAAAGAGGAGTCCTGGATTTATCGCTGGTGAGGCCAGAGCTGCGCTGGGCCTGGCAGTCCCCAGCGCTCAGGCTTTGGTGGGAAGAGGGGCTGGGGCTGCAGGCACATGCTTCAGGCGCTGGGTTGTCTGGGGAGCCAAGACTCCCCATGGTGCCTGTTCTGCAGGGAGCGCCCAAGGGGAGATGGAGCCCTGGCCAAGGAACCTGGTGCTGGAAGCCCCACCCTCCCCAGGACCTCCCTCGCGGCCTCTTGATTGTGATCAGGTCAAGAACTGTCACCTCACAAACCACCCAAACTGCCGCAGAACGCACACTACAATACGATGTGCCCCCCAGCACCACCCCTCCAAAGCCCACATGTCCCCGGATCTCTCCAGCCACTCCTCAGTCATACACAGACTCCTCACAACACAAGCCTAGGGAAGTTCAGTCTGTACGTGCGTGAAACAAAGACACTAACACAAAGGCACGGACACACACATAACCCCTGGAGCCTCCACACCCTGAACCACACACATCCATGGCTCTGGCTGAGCCAGTTCCTGGAGCTGGTCAAAGATGAGGTCAGGAGGAGGGTACCACTAGAGGCAGAGGAGGGAGGGGGCTTCCCCAGCTAGAGCCAGCTGGGCCCAGGCCCCTGAGGCTCCTCCAAGGGCTTCAGGCTCCTAACTGGCTGCCCAAGATTCTGCCCCTGCTCCCACCATGGTTGTTCCCTACCAACCCCTGCAGCCTTGCAGATAAGCCCTCCAGCAGACCCAGAGTCCTGAGACCCAGCCCAGGCACCCAGTTACACAGCCATGGCCTGAGCATAGGGCTTCCCCCAATCAACACTTCACTAATCACCACCTCCCAGCGTGCTTTTGCCCACTGCTTCTCCTGTTCCCCACACTCTTGAGTAGGCACACCCTTGCCAGACTGTGGCTACGATACCATCTGCCACAAAGACAACGTCTCAATCCAGCCCCCTCCCCAGGTGACAAGGCATCCATAGCCCTCAATTCCGACCTTCCATCCTATCTACACCTCTGCTAAAAGATTTATTCCCCACCCCTACCTAGCCAGCAAACTCCTACACATCCTGCAAGACCCTGCTCAGATGTCCCTCTTCCAGAAAGTCTTCCAGGATTCCCTGGGTTCCCCATCTCTCTATCTCAGCCCTGACGGTGTTGGCTGGAGGCCTCTCCCGGACCGGGAGCCACCTGAGAGCAGGGAAAACCTCTACAATCGCAGCTTCGCTGGGCACAGGAGATGGCTTGCTGGGTGAAGAAGGACAGAAGGAGGCCAGCCCAGCCAGTGGAGACAGAGACGTGAGCGGCCCAGGCTGGGCTGGGGTCAGGAAGGAGATGCCAGACACGTGGGGGAGCGAGTCGGACAAGGCTTGCCCTCTGCCCCGCCCCACTTTGTTTTCCTCACTAGCACTTATCACAGTCTTCCAGGCTATACATTTCACTCACCCATTCACTAATTTTTACATTTTACTAATCATATGCTTATTGTCTCTCTCTCCAGAGAAGGTCAGCTCCATGAAGACAGAGATTTGGGGTCTTTTTTGAATGAGTGAATGAATGAATGCGCAAAGGGGTCTGGGCCCCAAAGATCTCACCGTCAGAATTTAGGCCCCGCTAGAGCAGAGAATTAGGACAAACAGGGACCTCAGGATGGGAGCCAGGGATCAGAAGCTCCTGAAATCACACAGGTATTTTCTGGGGTGGCATGGGTACTTTTCTAGGGCTTTCAGCCAGGAATTTACCAGAGGGGTCCTTGTCCCATAAAGGGCAAGTCTTAGACATTATCCTGGCCTCTGTGCTTCGGAACAGAGAAACTCAGGCCCAGGGAGGAGGCAGGCCCTTTTCTGAGAGCCAGGCCCCCTCACAACCTTATTTACTAAGGGAGGGGTCCTGGCCCCACCAAGGCCTCCCACTGCAGAGTCCCATCTGGGGGTCTCCTGGCCAGCCCAGACATCCACCCAGGCCCCTGTCACCCCAGGGCAGGCCAGGCCTTGCTCAGCCCACTCACCGAGGCTGAAGAGGATGAGGAACTTGAGGCAGACGAACTCCTGGCGGTCCAGCTGCAGTGCGTGTAGCTGCAGCACCAGCTCCTGCGCCCGAAGCACCAGGCTGTGCAGCAGGGAGCCCGCCTGGGCCGCCACCGTGGTCAGCTCCACCTGGGAGGGCAGAGGACCAGGGTCAAGGGCGGGGGCCAGGCCGGAGGCTCTGCTCGGGGACGTGATGGGAGGGCGTGGGTGGGAGGCCCCGCTAGGAGGCTAGGGGGTCAGAGGGGCCCCGCCTGGGAGCTGAGGGGGTGGGGGCAGCATCTCCCCAGGCCGCTGGACCCCTCCAGGCTCCCAGCTCTCCTCCCATTCCCAGAGCTGAGGGCCCCCGCACAGCAGAGCCGACACCGGGCAGGTGGGTGCAGAGGGAGAGCTGAAGGGTCCTTCACGCACAAAGAGCCGCCGCCAGGCCCAGTGGTACAAGCGGCTTTTGTGTTTTGTGTGGCGTCTACAGTGAGTACCATGTCGTGCTGGGGGTGGGGGCAGGGGCAGGGCAGCTCTGCCTGGATACACGTGGATGCAGCCGCATGACTGCCCGGGGCCCACGCACCCACACATAGACACTGGACCGGGGATGTGGCCACACCTCAGCTCACGTTCACACACACGCAGGGACACACTCACAGGGCCATCCCCCCACTTCAGGACAGGAACACACACACGCCCTTGTGTGGGCACATTGTAGGGGAACGCAGCAGACACACAGCCCTGTATGTGTTCCCACCTACGAGGTAATGGGCAGAGCTCGACACCTACCCACTTAGGTGTGTGGAGATATTTGCACAATAAAATACAGGCACACACATGTGCGCGCACACTCGCACAGGACAGTCCCATGGCCTTGGAGACATCCATCCACATGTTGACATGGGCCAACACAAACACATTCACACCTCAGACTCCCTTTTAAGACCACCTTCCCCTGGCCCCGGATGGCCTGAGACACCCAGGTGAGAACAGAGGATGAGGACAAAGGGCCTGGGTTGGAGGTAGGATGCGGAGCCTGACCTCAGTGTCCAATCCTGCCAGCACCTGTCAAACCCACTCCTCCTGTATCCACGCCCCACCCAGGAGCGATGCTCCCTCCACCAGGCTAGACCCTGGGCATCCACCTCCCTTTCCTTCTCCCTTCCCGCCATTTCCCCTACACCCCCTCTCATCTCCCCCTTGCACTGTCCCCTCCCAGATCCCCAGCATTCTGAGTGCTGCCTCCACTTTCCCCTCACCACCTGTCTTGCCTCCTCCATGTGCTTCCTCACCTACAACCTGGCTGTATCCTTCCCCACTTAAAACTCTACTGTGGCTCTCTGTTCAGTTTCCAGAGCCCACCGCCCCCCAACCTATTGCTCTTAATTCTTTGCTCTGAGTGCCCAAATTCTGACTCTGAGCTCTTTAGGGCCCAGAACCATTTGCCCGTCCAACCATCCATCCATCCATTCATTCATTCACTCATTCAGGATTTAGACTTGCAAGGTCTTGCCCACACCAGCCCCCAGCCACCCCTCCAGCCTTACCTCTCACCCCATCCCACCCTCCACGGGGCACCTGTCCCCTCAACCACATCCCAGCACACCAGTAGCCCCCAGTGACTCTACAGTTCTAACCTGCCTCTCTGAGCCTTGCCCATGCTATCCCCTCTGCCTGTGTGGAGAGGGGACTGCCCCTCCACCACCTTTTACCACCTCCCCAGCCCTTGTTTATTCTTTCACTATTCAGCGCCACCATCACCTCCTCCAAGAGCCTCCCTAACTACCAGCCCCACTGCTGCCAACATCCCTGAGCTGCTTCCCCAGAGCAGGGCTCTCAGGGGCTGGCTCTTCTCAAGGCCAAATCTAGGTCAAAGGGAGGTTGCGCCAGTGGGTATCCCACGAACTTGGGGGAATGGCTGATATTCAGGGCTCCCAGGGAGAAGCCTAGGACCGCTTCCGGACCCAGAATTCTGGAAGTGCAAGGTGGGGGTCGGGGCACAGTAGGGCCTGGTCACCTCCTGCCCGGTGACCAGCAGAATGCTGCCCTCCTTGCCATGCTGGATCTGGCGGTAGATGTGGTCGAACACCAGCAGCTCACTCCAGCAGCTCTGCAGCAGGGTCATCTGGTCGGCCACCTGCAGGGGAGAGGCACGCAGGGGGCTGGGGTCTGGCCAGGGTCCAGCCAGGGCCCAGCCAGGGCCCAGCCGGGGACCTGCCCTTCGCCCCTCCTCCTCCCAACTCGGAGTTCAGAGGCTCAGCTGGGTATGTGACCTGGGCAAGCTGCTCAACCTCTGTGTCCAGTCGCCCATCTGTCCTCTTCATCAGAGTGTGGCGGGGTCTAGCAAAGTAACAGGAAGGTCCGGTGGAGGTGCTCGGGACTTGGACAGCCTGGCTTCAGGCCCCGGCCCTTTCTGGGCCTCAGTTTTCTCATCGGGACCGTGGGCAATGAATTAGAAGGTGATCTGGCACATATAAGCTCTCAGTAAATGTTGGTGGATAACGTGCACGGAAGTGCTTTGTAAAGGATTCCTTCAAATGCGAGAGAAGATTAGTATTAACTTTTCCTTGTGTCCATTTGGCCTCCTGTATCCACGCCCCACCCAGGAGCATCTCTCATAGCCTCAGTCTCTCAAAAAGGACCCGTGTAGAGAAAAGGGAGGGCTGCCCCAGGGCCTTGCGTCGAGCTTTCGGTCTCATGGGAAGAGAGCAGGGCCCGCCAGGCCTGCGGTTCGGCCCAGGGAAGGAGCAGGCGGCTGGCAGCAGTCTGAGGAAGAGCAGGGCACACAGGAGGAGAGTCTGAATCCTCAGGCTGCAGTCAGGGACACTCGGCGCAATGGCAGGGACTGTCCTCCAGTCTGGGGTTCGCCACGTTCTAGCACAGCAAGAGTAGACACTCATGACAATGACAAGAGGGATCCAGGACCATGGGATGCTGGAGCCAGAGGATCCCCAGGGATTCCCCTGGCCTAAACCCCTATTTTTAGATGAAGAATCTGCTACCTGGAGAGGGCAAGGGACTCTCCTAGGATCACAGAGAGGTAGAGCCGCCAGGGCTGGCATCCTCAGTCCACAACTCTCCAGTGACAAGTACTGAACCCTTCTGAGTGTTCAGAACTGCGCTGCATGCTGTGGGTCATCTTACGAGGACACCGTGCAGACTTCAGTCCCTCTCAGCATCCACGGCTCATCCGCCAGCCACCATCTACCCAAAGGGCACTTCCCAGGGAGCCTTCCTGGCCACACCCCGTGGCGAATGCAAATCATGACAGCTAACAGTCACGCTGCAGCTCCACAAGCCTTTGTGGTTGGTACTGCTGTTATCCCCAGTGCATGGGGAGAGGGCACTGAGCTCAGAGAGGTCAAGCAACTTGCCCAAGGTCACACAGCTCTGACTGGCTCATCTGTGCTCTTAACCACTAGGTGTGGAGGAAGACCCACCCTTGCCACCCCGGAGTTTATGGCAAGCTCGCTAACCCCACCACTGAAGCCTTCCCCACTGCTCCCTCTTCCCTCAGTACTTTCGCATCCTCTGGACATGGCACCTGCAACATCTGACGGCACCAGTCCACGCCTCTGTCTTCTCTGACACCTTGGGGTCTGGGAAGGCAAGGCTGGTGTCCAGCCCATCTCTGGGTCCCCAGAGAAGAGGTTGGTGAGCGCTTGATGAACAAATATGTTCTCCCCAAGATATGCGCGGAGGAACCACCCCTACCCTGGAGGCCAGAGGAGTCCAGGAAGCCCCCTTCTCTCTTCTGGTAGGTAGAAGCCCCCTCCTGCCCTCTGCCCCTGACTCCTCTCCTGGGGGTGGCCCTGGGGCCCATCCTCAGGCAGACAGAGGGAGAGAAAAAATGGACAAAAAGCAAAGCGAGCAGCTAGACACAGTCAGGCTCCTTCAGGCCTCGCCTGCCCAGCCCTTCTCCAGCCCACATCGCTGAGAACAAGAGGAAGGGTCTGTCTCTGTCCTGCTCTGAGTCACTGCCTCCCACCCTCCCGTCCTCACTTCATCTCCGAGTCAAGAACCCACACCTCTCCCACCTTCTCCCAGCAGAAGATTCTTCCTGGAGCCCCATTACTGTCAGAACAGGAAACCCAGCCAGGGGGACAGGCTCAGCCACAGATGGCCTGGACTGGACGGGCCAGGAGAGACTGGGAACCGGGCAGGGTGCGTCACAAAGACCCCTCTCCTTATCCCTCCTCAGGGAGTGGCCTGTCCCCAGAGAGCCACTGGCAGGAGGCCTCCCCACCACACCACCATCCCTTCCAAGGAGGGAGGCAAGGCTCAGCGAGCACATGGACCAGGCCCTGTTCCCAGCACACCCAGGACTCCACACCCCTGCTCATTACAGATGAGGGGGCAGAGGCTCCCCTCAGGTAACGGCAGGGAGCTGGGCTCTGGGCACTCCTGAAGCCAGGCAGGAGGTGCCTGCTCAGGGAGTCACACTGGCCCAACATGGGCGATCCAGATGGAGGCAGAGGAGGAGGGAGGACATGCGGGGCTGCGCTTGGCCCCCCACCCACTGGGGCCCTCAGGAGCAGACACCCTTGTGCCTGAATTAAAGGAACGGGGGTGGGGAGGTGGAAGCACAGAGATAAGGGGGAGAATTGGAAGATAAGCTGGCTGAGCTTTGGGCAGAAAGCAGAGGGGGTCACAGTGACCCGGTAGCCAAGCCCTGGGAGCAGACTCTGTATCCAGACCTCGGATCCTGGGAGTGGGGGCAGCCCTGCCTGCGGGGCTGACAGGGGCGGCGGGGCAGGGAGGTGCACTATGGTGGCCGAGCCTTGGTGCCCTGGGCCCTCAGATTCCCACTGAGCCACACACCCTCCTCAGCCCTGATTTCCTATTCTGAGAAAAAAAAAGGCGGGGGGTGGGGAGCCTCCCTCTCTTGATTAGAGAAAACTTGTGAGGACAGTGGTGTCAGTCAGGAAGGGTTCCGTGGACACACGGGCGGCTATTCCAGGGATACTGCCCCGGCCCAGGGTCCCCTACCCGCCAGCCAGGCAACTTGCTTTCCCTCTAGATGGACGAATGGATAGATAAAGACACCAAACTCCAAACACTCCCCACACAGATGAACACGCACACACACGCGCGCGCACACACACACACGCACTCCCCTTTTTATTTAAAAGAAAACCAGAAGACCCTGGCCGCCAGCCCCTCTCCATGAGAAAGCAGGTGGCTAAGAGGCTCACTTAACCAAAGAGGGCTGGTTTTCACCTTCAGTGGGTTTCTCTCTAAGCAAAAGGTTCTTCCTGTACCCTTAGGTCGCCCGCCCTGCCACCTTGGGAACAAGGACATTTGCAGTTCGGGCCCTGGGGTCCCTCATCAGCCCGGCCTGTCTGCTCCGCCCACCAGCCGCCCACCCCTCCTGCCACAAATCTTCCCGGAGCCTTGACACTTTGCAGCCTGCCTCGGAGATGGGGTATTTATGGGTGCTGAGATGACCTCCCTCCCAGCAGGCCCCCCTCCGGAGCCCCCTGGGGTCTGATCAGTCTGGCGGCCGAAGGCCAGCGGGCTCCGTAATTCTCCAGTGGCTGACACACCACGGGCTGGCCACGGCGTTCTCCCGGCCAAGTGGTCGGCAGGCTGTCACCTGCCAGCCCAGGACTGACAGAGTGACTGCCCCTTAAATGACACCATATATAAATCTAAACAATTAAATCTGTTGCCTATTAGGGGCCTCGGAGCTGGACGACGAGGGTGAATGGATGTCAAGATGGGTCATTAGGCACCCCTGGCCCTCGTCTCCAGCTCCCTGATTCCTGTCTCCATTCTCCCAGCCTGTCCTTCACAGGACTGTCCAGAGAAGCTGGCTGCCTGGGCCTACACCCTGCGCCTGCTGAGCAGCAGTTACCGGTGAGCGTCTGCTACTTTGCAGGTACTAAGCGGGTTTGGAAGCCCAGGGTGAGGTGGGCCCCATCTCCTCCCAGAGCTCTAGCACTCTCGGGGGAGCCTGGACACAATGTATCTTTTCCCACTCTTCCTGGCCAGGCCTGTCTACCACCTGCAAGGATAGATTAATGGTACAGCAATAGAGAGGCACAGTCAGGGAGGGAGCTGCTGCCCCCACTTGCTGAACACTTCCTGGAGCTGCACCAGTGCTAAGTGCTTTACCTGTCCCAGCTCCCCCAAAGCCTTCCATCAGCCCTGTGGCTACTATTTCAACTCTCCCTTTTTACAGATGGGGAAAACTGAGGCCCAGAGGAGTAAAGTCACCTGCCCAAAGCCACAAACCTGGTAAGTGGCAGAGCTGGGACTTGAACACAGGCCTCTTGGATTCTGGCCTCTGTTATTAACTTCTGGGCCATGTCAGAGTTAACACACTGACTGTGTGCAGTGGAAAAACAGAGACAGTGGAACATCCAAGCTAGGAAAGAAGATGGAGGAGGAGAACCCCAGGAGGACATCTGGAACCCCAATATCCAGGCTGCCAGCATCCCTGACAGCTCAGCAAAGACCCCAGGCCTCCCCCGGGGCGGTAGGACGTCATCAGTATCATAGAAGGCTGAGTGGGCCTCTGGGGAGAGCTCAGGCTCTGTGGTGGGAGCCCGTCCTTCCTCGGGATACAGGGCCCCCGCCAGCCCTGGCAGGCTGTCTGTCACCCACTGCCAAAGGACCTCCTCCTGGTCCAAGCTCTGCTCCGGACCCTGCCAACCTCCCCAGCCCTGCCTCATGGGACCACCTGGGGCTCCCTGACACATGACACCTTTACACCCCTGTGGGCCTCAGTCTACACTGTTCCTACTTTCCAGAATGATGCCCTTAAACTTCTCCGACTGCTTTCTGCAGAGGTGCAGATCAAAGAAACCTTCCGCAACTTCCTTAGAAAGAGCCATTGGTGACACAACACTGTAAACTGCCTATACTTCAAAAAAAAAAAGAGCCATTGGCTCTCCTGCTGGGCTCCCTTGGTCCCTTTCTGTTGCTCTCAGGCCCTGGGCACCCTGTGCTGACATAAGCTATGCGCATGTCTGTCTCTTCCTCCAGACTGGCAGCCTCCTGGGTCCAATTCATGTCCCTATGCCCAGGCCAAGGGCTGCCCCACTCTCAGAGCTAGGGAGCCCACTCTGCTGCCTGCTAGGATGTGTCCTGCCTGGAGGTGGGGGGTATAAATAGCCAGTCAAAAGGGAGAACAGGGTCACTCAGCTCCCTCCCACTTTTCTACCTCCCTATATCTGGTTTTGCAAACAGACACCTCCCAGAGCTCATTGGTCTAGTGGGAAAGAAATTCCACATGGCTGATGAGCGGCCCTCTAAGGGCTGGGCTGGTACTTATGTGCAAGGCTCCTTTACAGAGGGTAGTCACCATGGTTCATATTCCTAGGCTTGATTCAGAGACTCTGGGAAGGGGAAGCAGGAAGGTTTGGACCACAGAGAAGCCAGAAGCAGGAAAAAACACTCAGCAAAGCTGGGACAAAAGCCCTTCCCATCCTGCGTGAAAAACCCCGAGAGACCAGGAAGGCGGCCAGAGGAAGTGCCCTGCCCCTGGATGCAGGGCTCTGGGAGGCCAGGAAGGCTCTGTTCCTCCTCCCTCTGTACTGGGGGCTCATGGGACGCCTAGAGGGAAAGCTGGCAACCAACCCAAGGGTCTTAGGATCTTCATCCCCCTCCAGGGCCTCCAGCCATGAGTAGAAGGCAGACAGGATCATTCAAGGCCCTGCCTCTTGTCCTATCCATGAGGTCGGCCTACAGAGGGGGCAAGGGTGGAGCCCCAGCCCATGACAGACACGTGGCTCATCCCCAGGCCTCAGCCAGGACAGGCCCTCCACAATAGAAGCAGGAGCCACCAATTCTTGATGGGGCCCCAGTCCCATGATGTCTCAAGCCCTTGTCTTATTCCCCCCCGTACCCGGCCTAGAAGGGCAAGCAGTGCCCCCGGCCCATCCGGCCACATGCCCCCGGAGGAAGCCCAGGCCTGAGTGGCGTCAGCACTGACAATGCTGCTCAAGGCTGCAGCGGCCCCAGCAGGGAGGGCAACAGATCCTGCTGTTCACACCCAGCCCCAAGACATCCAGGGGGCCGGCTTGGGAGAGGCAAACATCCATAGGCCTGGGCTAAAGGCCTATCATGTCTTTGTCCAGGTCCGGGAGGGCCTGGCTTGGGGTAGGCCAGGCTTGGGGGTGCCTCTGAGGTTGGCAGAACACCCTGCTCATAGGGAGCCAGGTCACCAGAGGGGCAGCTCCCCAGTCTTGGGCGCCTCAAATCGCTAGGCGGGATGACTAGCAAGTCCTTCAGCATCTGGCCGTGGTTTCTCCTGCTGCTCTCCCGCTCACTTGAGCTGCAGGTACCTCAACCAGGGGGATGGAAGGCCTTGGAGTCGAGGAAGCTGCCTGGTCTAGAAGCTGAGAGGCAGGCCCTGCAGTCCCCTACCTACCCTCTCACCTAGCTCTCCCTGCACGTCAGACACACACACTTACACATGGGGCCAACCATCACACATGAGAGATGCAGGGACAGTAAGATCTTTCACCTTCGCTGGGAAGGAGAGGGTTCACAAGCATTCCGAACTCTGAGATACTAAGACCCCTTCTGTGACATCTGAGGCTAGCAGGGCACGGGGGCCTCTCCAAATGGGAGGACAGGATGAGCGGGACTCTACAAGACGGTGGGCTGGGCAGCCAGAGACAGTCTCCCAAGGACTCAGCTCCTCTTTTGGGAGAGCCCAGGGTCTCAGAGAAGGAGAGATAAATGTCTATGAAGACCCAGACTGGGAGAGAAAGAGACAGAGACTGAAAGGACTAGAGAATAAGAAGCAGAGAGAGAGCACACCAGAGAGAGAGACAACAGAGACAGGCAGAGATAAAAGAAGCAGAGGCTGTGAGAGATAGATACTCAAGAAATAGAGAAGGAGAAAGAGGGGGGATTGGGTGAGGAGGTGGGAGAGGGACAAGGAAGGCCACAATGAGCCAGAAACACTCCTCAGTGTTCCCAGTGTGGTCTCCCTGCCTGGGGCCAGGGGGCAAGACAGCCCCATCCAAGGAGGGGCCCAGAGGGAGGCTTAGACAGCTGAGAGGACACCCCAGATCCAGCGGCCAGCCAGGTGGGAGGAGGAACTCACCTCCAGCTCCTTGAAGACCATGCACCTGCGTGCCCAGTCCACGATGGAGATGAAGGTCTGGTCAGCCATCCTGCACAGGAGGCTGAAAGGCGCAGGCTGGTCGGGGCGGCCCTTGGCCGGTTCCTGCAGGCAGCCCACGATGCGTGCCCGTACCTGGTCCTCATCTGGCTCCAGCTGCAGCAGCTGCAGGATAAGCTCGGGCACGCCGGGCCCTCCAGAGAAGGGCTCTGGGTAGCCATAGGGTGGCCCAGGCTGTGGGGGGCTGGCGTAGGGCTCCGGGTACTCAGACTTGATGGCACGGCCAGGGAAGGCGGGATAGAGGTAGCCAGCCAGTGGCCCGTGGGCGCTGGGCACAGCCATAGGCAGCCCTGGGGCCCCAAAGTCGCCCAGTGGCCCAGCAGGTGGACCAGAGGCCAGGCTCTTGGGCTCAGGTGCATGTAGGCCAGGAGGCAGCATGTAGTCCGGTGGGGGAGGGGGCGGTGGAGGCACCCCCATTGGGGGGCCTGTCTCCAGCTTGAAGCCATTGGCTCGAATCTGTGCCTTCTTCTGCTGCTTCAGAGCCCGGTCCCGCTTGTACATGGGCCCAAACTTGTTCCGGCCGCCCCGCATGCGGTCAGCGCGCACAGCTGTGGGCAGAGGCAGAGGGGCAGGCTCACCCCCTCCAGGCCACCCGCCGAACCGCCCCACTCACAACTCCTCCCCAAACAGATCTGACTGGGTCACTGCCCAGCTAAGTACCTCTCGGGGCTCCCCCAGTGTCAGCAGACGAAGTCAGCCCCCTTAACCTGGCCAGGTTTTTGCTATTCCTTCTGCCTCAAACCCTTTCCTTCTCTCGTGCCTACTGAACACCCAGAGTGTTCTGGATTCACCCAGCAGCATTCACTGACCCTGCCCCAGATGTCCTGCCCTCACCCACTCTTGTCCTGCTGAGGGCTATCAGGGCCTGGACCCAGGCTGAGAGCTCCTGGGGGCTGAGCAATGGGCTCAGGTGCCCAGCACAGGGCCTGGCAGGGAGGTGGTGACAGGAAGCGGGCCCCGGTCAGCCTTGTTCACAGGTGGCTCCCAGTGTCCAGCTGCTTCTTGACTGACTGCCTGACTCTGTTGAACCCCTGTTACAAAATGACTCAGGCTTTCCCGGCTGCCTTCAAACTTGAAACTGAGTTTAGGGCTGGCCGGGGCTCTTAGCTGAAGGAAGGGACTTCCCTTGCTGACCAGATGTCCCACTGCCTGGCCAAGAATCTGTCACCAGCTGGACCCAACAGGTGTGTCTCTGCAGCTGTAGTGTGGCCCCAGCCCTTGCTCAGACAGGACCCCATCCCGGGCTCCAGGAGAAAGAGAGAGGAGGAGGGAGAGGGCAGTGCTCAACAAGGGATGCGTCTCGGGGCTCCCCCGAGCAGCCAATCTTCCTGCCACGGGGGTGGACAGCCCTGCTCCCTCCCCCAAATCCGAGGATTCTGCGGCTCATAATAACCAGCCCTCCTGGGTCCCTCCACACCTGGAGCTGGGGACATGGGCTCTGGGGACAGGACAGGATATCCCCCTTCCACCAGGAGTCCTTCCTCGAGGTGACAGGACTTGCGGCTGCAGCTCTCAGAGGCACCGGGGCTCTCTACATCATTTAATCACGTTAACCAACAGCTGCCTGCTCGGCGTGCAGCCCGGCTGGGGCCAGCGAGGTGGAAGCCTATGACTGTTCACCCCTCAAAGAGCTTGAGCCTTTCCTGCTGAAATGTTTTCCTCCCCCTCTGGACTGAGAGCTGGTGAGGGGAGCATAAGGATGGGCCTGGGTCCTCTGGGGGGCCATTGTTCCCCATTCCCCAGCCCTCTGGGACCTGGCTAAGAACCCGCTGAGTGAATGAACTGAGTGAATCTTGTAGATGGATGGACAGACCAACAGATGGGTGGGCTGGGTGAGTAAGGGCTGCACAGTGATGCTGGAAGGGTAATAACATACATAATGAGAACAATAATAGTTAACCTGCTGAGCATTTTCTATGGGCCAGGCACCATGCTAGGAGCTTTTTCATGCAATCCTCTCACTAACTCGAGGAGGAAGGGGTTTACTATTAGGCTCATTTTTCAGATGGGGAACCTGCAGCTCAGAGAGGTTAAGGAACTTGCCCAATGTCACCCAACCTGTAAGTGGTGGCACTGGGATTTGTCTAGTAAAGATATTAAAAGCCTTGGCTCTGGCTGGCATGCAGTGCCAGTGGGGCTGTTACAGAACAGCCAGAGGGAGGAGTTCTGTGGGGCTCTGGCCTATGCTGCCCTGTCCCCAAGGGCTGGGGAGAGGGTCATCTCCCTGGGGTTCACTTTTAGATACTTCTCAACCCAACCCAGGTTGGTCGTGCATGCACCCCTTCACCCAGACCGACATCAGTTCTCTCCCCTCCCCCACAGAGATGGGGCCCTAATGTTACATGAGGGGCCAATCGCCTGGTCCCAGAAACTTTAAGAAGGCCAGCGGTGCCCTCCCCTCACTCCTCCTCCCACTCCCACCTCCTGCCCCCTCTTGCCACCAGAGGTCAAGCCACCAGAGGTCAAGGGACGGCAGCCTGGGCGGGGCGTGCACACCTTCCAGGCGCATCCCCACCGTCAGGCACTTCTGGAAGCGGCAGAAGGGACAGCGCTTGCGCTGCGTCTTGTCGATCTTGCAGCTCTGGCTCTCGGTGCACGTGTAGTGCTTGTTGTTCTGCACCGTGCGCTTGAAGAAGCCCTGGGGGAGAAGGGAGTCAGTCCTAAACCTCCCAGCAGGGCTCTGCGGCTTTCCTGTCCTCCTGCAGCTCCCAGACCTCCACGCCCATCCCCTGCCCGCTCACCTTGCAGCTCTCGCATGTGAGCAGCCCGTAGTGGTAGCCCGACACCTTGTCCCCACACACGGGGCACAGCTCGTCCAGGTCCTCATCGTACGAATAGTCCATACCCGCGGCGTCCGCCTGCGGAGGGAGGAGAGGGTCACCGTGGGCAGGATGGCGACTGGCCGCGAGGCGGACCTGGGTCCAGCGGGTCTTGCACCACCGCGGCCGCGAGCCCCACAGCGCCCTCCTTTTGGGCCCGGCCCTCGGCCCCCATCCCAGTGCCGTGGTCAAGGCGGCCTGTTGCGGGCCACCCACTAGAAGGCTCTGAGCCGCCTGGAGCACATGGGCCCCGGGGAGCTCCATGCCGGGCCCTTGCTGACCCTGTCAGGGCCCTCCCGCCCCGCACACTCCCCGACCCTCCCAGAGGCTCCTCCTGAGCTGCCCGCCTCCCCCGCACCCGATCTGGGACTCGTGGATTCGATGAGCTTTGATCCGCATTCGTTCGTTTGAGAGCAAAACCCCGATTCTGAGAAAACGAGATGGGCTCCGCCACCCGGAGAGACGCCAATGAAGCCGGGCCGAGTGGGGCCCAAGTGTTCTGGGGATCGGACAGGGAGGAGGGAGACAGAGGCAGAGACTGAGAGAGGCGGAAAGATGGGCAGAAAGGAGAGCGAGAGACACCGACCGACGCTGCTTAACGGAGAGAGTACCCCGGGGTGACAGAGAGAACGAAAACCCGAGAGTGACAGAGACACACTGATGCAGAGTCAGAGAAGACCAGGGACAGACAAGAAAGATGGAGAGAGAGAGCTAGAGGTAGAGACAGAGGCAGAGAGGGTGGGAGAGAGAGAGGGCGAGAGTGGACGAACGAGAAAGACAGATCAGAGACACTGAGAGACGCAGAGGCCCCAGGAGAATACCCGGGAGAGAGCTGCAGAGCAGAGACATAGTGGTCGATGAGAGACAGACGGAGACACCGAGAGACGAGAAAAACCTGGGAGAGACCCAGGCAGAGAGAGAGAGAGTGACAGAGACACTGAGAGAAAACCTGCAGAGACGGAGGCGCCCGGTAAGGGGGTCGGGGACGGGAAGACGCACGGAAAGCGGCAAGACCCGGGCGCCAAGCTCAGAGGCGCGGCCCCGCAGAGCCGGACCCCGACAGGGGCTCGAGCCGGGAG